CCACTATTTATAGGGGATTAAGGGTGGTAACTACCCCCTTAATCCGCTCCTCCATGGGCTGAGTGGGGTGTAACCGCCCCCTCTTAAACAACTCTCTAAATCATGGGGAAAATGGTTTTGAAACCGTTCTGTTAGTCCTTTGAACGAGTCAAAACGCTGAAAACAGCATTATGGGCCCGAACTGTGCGTTTCTGGACCTGAAACGCAGAGTTAGGCCTGAAAACGCACAGTTGGGCCTGATTAAAGGCTGAAAACGCACAGGTCGTGCTGTTTTAGAGATGAACTCTGCGTTTTAGGCTGAAAACGTAGAGTTGGGCCTGTTTAAAGGCTGAAAACACACAGGTCGTGCTGTTTTAGAGATGAACTCTGCGTTTTAGGCTGAAAACGCAGAGTTGAGCCTGTTTAAAGACTGAAAACGCACAAGTCGTGCTGTTTTAGAGAGGAACTCAGCGTTTTAGGCTGAAAACGCAGAGTTGGGCCGTAACTCTGCGTTTTGATGTTATATCACAAGGATAACCTCTGCGTTTTGAGGTTATAACGCTGGTTCGACCTGTGCGTTTTAACTCTGTAATGCAGAGGCGAACCTTAGGCGGGCTTGGCGAGCTTCAAGCTAAGTTCAATGTTCTGACGAAGTCCGGTCTTGCAGACGGACTTCAGAACATAATTTGCTGCGAAGAACAGGTCATAACTTTCGAACCGTAAGTCGGAATTGGACGAATTATATATGAAAATCGGCTATCTCGACTAGATGGGGCCATTTGAACCAAGCCAAAGGCTTTGGTTCGCTTCCTCCGTTTCGCCAAATTCCTTACGGTTTGAGAGATATCTGCATTCTAATATGAAGAGACCGTCAATTTGTAGTCTCTTCCTACAATATATATATATATATATATATATCAATATATATCATGTGTCTCAAATTGTGAATCGCCAAATATCAACTCTAAACTAAGAATAAAAATAAATAAATAATTACAAAATATATCATACTAACCAGTATCATAAATTTTCAACCAACCATTTCAGGCTAACCTTGGGTAGATGATACGGAAACAAGTGTACCAATCGTGTGTAAATCACAGTACAATATCCCCGTCATAATATATCTCAACAGTGAACTATGTTCATAAGCAATTACCGCTTAAGACTCAAGCTATTAAATATTTAACAATGCTATCGTTTACAAAATTCTACAACTCATCGCATCATCATGCAGATCAACATATATGGCTCACCAGCCTCATCTCATTATCATACGGATCGACATATATGACTCACCCGCCTCATCGCATCATCATACGGATTGACATATACGGCTCACCAGCCTCATCACATCATCATGCGGATCGACATATACGGCTCACCACCCTCATCGCATCATCATGCAGATCGACATATACGGCTCAATAGGCTCATCGCATCATCATGCGGATTGACATATACGGCTAAACAACCTCATCGCATCATCATGTGGATCGACATATACGGCTCATCAGCCTACTCCAGTGGTGTACTTACGCACTACCCTTGGCAGTACTAAGCTGTGCTCATCATCGGTACCCATAAGAACATATACCGTTGGCCTCTTTGTTTTGATAATGTTTAACAAATAATTTACCACTAATGTTGTTTGTCTAGTATTTATATAATTCTATTTATTGTAGACAAATAATATGTTAGAGGATGGATGGAATTGTGTATTCACGACCATATCCAATGGAGGTTGGCGGCATTGTGGAGTGAAGCTACGCAATTCAAGTTAAAGATTCAAGTTCAAGCTTCATCCACAAGTGTACCAAGATAGAGCTTCGTTGAAGATCACAAGCTTGAGTATATTTAGTATTAGGTTTTATATTATGTGTGTTAGTACTTTAAGCTCAATCATATACACACATACACGCCTTGGTTTCGTATATATATAGTTATATATATACATATATGTTTTGGTTTGATAGTTTTCAAATTTTACTATGAAACAATTGAATACAATTGAAAATACATTTCTTGTTTCATACTTATATGCATATATATGATTTCATCGATATAAATTTTATTTAGTTCAATGAAATCATGTTTTAGTGCATTATATGTGTATTTTGATAAAATACTATATTCAAAATCATGTTTTAGTGCATTATATGTGTATTTTGATAAAATACTATATTCATTATTTATAGATTTCATAACAATAGTTTACATCTTTCTTCAAGTATAAAATACTATATTCATTATTTATAGATTTCATAACAATAGTTTACATCTTTCTTCAAGTCTATAAAAGCATTTTGTAATATTACGAAATATGGTTAAGCTAAAATGTCAAAACTCATGTGTTCACATTTTCATGTTTTAGACTATTTTGTAAAATGATGATATTTCTCATTTGGGAGGTCTATTTTAAAAACTAGTTTTTGTAGCATATGTATTATCGTGTCTATAAACATTTCCCAAAGTTTTATATTTTTCTGAATTTATTTGCTATTTTTAAATAGGATTTTAAAATCATCAAACTACTTCTAAACCTGTTATTTCATATATCTGTATGCGGTCGACCACCATGGTCGACCGCGCCCTTGATTTTACCTTAGTAGCCAGCAGAGACTTTCGTGGTCGACCGTGACGATTGACCATCAGTCTAAAAAATCCCACGGTCGACCGCCACGGTCGACCGTAAAAACTTTCTGGATATTTTCTCAGGCTCAAAAGTGGCTCGTGATCAACCGCGAGAATTCCACGGTCGACCGCCGTTCACCCTAACAGTCATTTTGGTATAGAATCAGATATTTGATTCTTGGGCTTTTTGGTCTTTTCCTTTGGGATTTTTGGCTGAGGTTTTGGGAGACTATAAATATCCCCCTTTTCTCATCTTTCAAGTGTATCAAAGAAGTTTTTAAACAAGGTTTAATAAGGGTTTAAGTTTGTTTAGTTTGTTTTAAGTTTGGGAATTTTTATTTTACAAAGGAGGAAGCTTATATTGCAAATTGAGGGATTCATCCTCAGTCTTCTTCATCCTCTCCTTTGTGTTTCTCTTTTCTCTAACAATTTTATTATTGATTTTCACATTCTTATTATTGCTAGTTTGCTATTTGAGTTAGAGTTTATTTCACTCATTGTTTACACACACCCACTTGAACTTATTGTATTTGCATACATTGTATTTTTGGGTTGGTGAGAGTTATAACAATTGGGTGTGAGCTTTCATTGTGTTCTCATCCATATTAGAGAACAATCATTTATTATAATTGTGCTTATTGTGAGATTCACTTTATAATACACTTATACGCCGAGAGAAGTGTGTGGCGAGAGTTAGGGATTGTCCCAAGAGGAGTGGCATCGGTTGACAAACCTAGGGAGAGGTTGTATCCGAGCACTTGAGGGAGACACGTCTAATTCCAACACTTGAGAGGGTGTAGAGTGAGATTGCAAGAGTGTTGATTGTAGAGTTTTCGATAAACTAAAAAATCGAGTGTGAGGTGTAAACGTTGTTCGGGTAAGCGTAGAAAACCCGGTTGTGATAGTGGATTTCTCCCCGGGATTGGGGAGCGGAGACGTAGGATGGAAGGTCCGAACTCCGTGATCATTTGATTGTGTTTGTGTGTACTTTGGCGTTCATTTATATTTGTGCTCACTGCTCATATCGCCTTTGTCTCATTAATTAGTTTGTCCACTTCTTTGTTTACATTATTTACCCTTGTGTCGTTTATATATCATTGCTCATATATTTGTAATATCTCATTGTTAGGATATATCTCTTTGTTCATATAGCTTATCCTAGCTCATATATCTTGTTGTATTTCATACTTGCTAGGATAACTTGTTATTAGTTTTAATTGGTATAAAATCGGATTAGATTAGCATAAGACCCTAATCACCCTCCTCTCTAAGGTCTAACATATACTACTCTAACTAGTCGTCTTCTAGTCGTGACGAAAACAACACATGAGGTTACCCACTCCCGAGGATCTATGTGTACTCGAATCCAACTAGTACTCATCATGGACACGCACGTGTATCAACGTGCGGCCCGTACATCGTGTCTGCGACCAAACGTGTGATGCAAATCAAGACCGATCGGTCGATTGATCCTTCTGATCAATCGCCTGACCCGAAGACGGATCAAAATCGACGGACTTTGCTAAAAATAAAAGTCAATATGAACTAAAATAGAAATCATAATTTCACCTATGCATATCTGCTCCCAGCTGAAGCAACCGAAGTCAAAATTAGAAATACATCTTGAAGAAGTCACAACACTGCTACTTGTGTCACTTCTTCTAAATTCTAGTATTATCTGTCCAAATATTACACCTATACAGATGATTATGAATAAGATACATGTATGATTATAAGCCTTTGGAAATTGACGTGTAAGCATATGAAATTCTTCAAACTCTTATTCTATGTGAATAGTACGTGAACCATTCCCTTGGTAAGATATGAACTTTGATTATATAGCCACATAAAATGTCTCTTATCACCATATAACTAATCTTGCATTGTTTATGATATTTAGGAGGACAAGCAAAAACACTGTCGTTTATGCACATCAATCTTGAGATGTTAAAGAACTCAAAGAGCAGGTCACTTTCAAGAGTCCTCACTGCATTCTTGAATCAAAGATAAAGATACTTATTACCAAATGGCTGTATCACCTCTCCTAATCTTGAAAGATTAGTAGTCTTTTTATTTGGAGTACTAAACGGCTAAATACCCATATTGGTATTTTAATTCAACCCTATTTGCCAACAAGGTATTTTAATTAGGAAATTCGGCGATAAGACATTTTAATTGAATAAAATTACCATTTAGGTCTTTTTTCTCATCGGCGGCCACTTTTCCGGCGAGAACTCATCATGTGCGTTGCACATGGGGGCTTAATCTATGTTTAAGATGCTGATGTGGCTCTGTTTTCTGACGTGGCAAGGAGAATAACCCTCTAAAAACTTCTCTCCTTTTATAAGGGTCAAACAGCGGTCTCCCTTCTCCTCTCTTTCTCATCAATGGCCGCTCCAAGCCAAGAGAGCCTGCTCCTCCACAAGCAACTCAAAGGTACAGATCGATTCGATCCCTGCGATTTCTCTCAATCCAATTCTTCACCCAAAAAAATTGAACTTTTTTTTTCCGATCAGATCTTATGAAGTCGTCTGTGGATGGATTCTCTGCTGGCCTCGTCGATGACAGCAACATCTTCGAGTGGAGCGTTACCATCATCGGCCCTCCCGATACTCTATAGTGAGCTATTCATCTTCTTTGGAGCGTTACCATCATCGGCCCTCCCGATACTCTATAGTGAGCTATTCATCTTCTTTGTTGATTTGAGACTGAAGCTAGTTTGTTGGGTTTTGTTTGGAGTTGAATGCGATCTGGGGTTATTCCTGCCACGTCAGAAAACAGAGCCACATCAGCATCTTAAACACAGATTAAGCCCCCACGTGCAACGCACGTGATGAGTTCTCGCCGGAAAAGTGGCCGCCGACGAGAAAAAGGAGCTAAATGGTAATTTTATTCAATTAAAATATCTTATCGCCGAATTTCCTAATTAAAATACCTTGTTGACAAATGGGGTTGAATTAAAATACTAATATGGGTATTTAGCCCGTACTAAACTATTGTATTTATTTTCTTGATATGACATCAATGCCGCCATCAACAGATCATCTCATCCGACAAGCATGAGACAAGAATATACATATTTTATTCCATCAAAATTCACAACACGTACATAGGGATGGCAATTTTGGTCCAAACCCAATAACCCACCTAGATCCATCCAATATAAAACCCATCCAAACCAACCCATTTCGCTAAATGGACTTAATTGGGTGGGTAACTATTTCTATAGAGGTTAAATGGGTATTAAATGGGCAGGTCTTGACCCACCCATAACCAACCCAAACTTAGCCAGCAAAATAGAAATTTCCTCTCCCCTCCCTCTGCGATTCTCTCTCTCCAAAACCTAAAGATCTCGGCTCCCCTCTCTCTGTGATTCGTCTCTCCGAGCTTCTACGGGATTTTCCCGGTGGCACCACCGCAGATCGGCGACCGAGGGCTGATCGACGACGAAGAAGAAGACGACGGCGGTGATCGGCGACGAAGACGACGAAGCCTTTGAGTAAGTCGACGACGAAGTAGGTAGGTTTTGATTCTGCTTTTTGATCTAATTGTTTCTAAACGCGATTTAATGTTTGATAAGGAACGATTCCAGTGATTGATTGAGCGATTGTTAAGTTTATGGTTAGTTTTGGTTGATTAGGGTTCAGGATGAATTGGGAAATTAGGGTTTGTGCTGTTTTATGAAATTATGGTGTAATTGATAGTTTCTTTGAGATGGAATCACAATTTTTTCATAGGTTGCAATCTTATCTGCAAAAGTCTCGTTTTTTTACATGGTTTATTTTTGCAGTAATATTTCTTTGCCCTGTCCTCTTTGATTGGTCTTGTAGTTGACACAACAAAGTATTTGGATGCTAGGTTGTTCATGAGCTTTCTCTTTACATTTTCTCACAAAACCTTCCCTTAATGTTGTGCTCTAGCATAGTTCTCTTTTGAGTAATGATTTTTCCCTGTATGATCTAAAAGAAAGTCTCTCATCAACTGTAGTCCATTTTGAATGACATTTAAAGTGCATTTAAACTTTATCTGCTAACTTCTATCCTGAGTTTGAACCCCTAGTTTGATCAAATGCCATCTGTTATCTTACTATGATTATTCCCTATTATACTCAACGATAAACGAGGAAAAATATAGAGTAACATTTCGAATAATGTCGCTTTAATATACGAATATTGTTGCAATTACTAAATTGTTCAATTGTAATCTCCTAAATTGTTGATTTCACTTTTGTTGGGTAGTGTTCTTTTCTTATTGTAGTTATTTAATATATATGAAGCTATTTTATTAACTTTTGACATTTGTTTTGATATTTAAAAGTTATTTTTCTTGTTTCAGCTACTATGTTTTTGAATGAATTTACTGCATGCGATGATGGTAGTGAATCTGGTAATGAAACTATATCCATACGTAAAAGAAGAGCAAAATCAAAAGTTTGGGAGTATTTTACTGAGTTGCCTGTTGATAGTGATGGGAAAGCTAAAGTTCAGTGCAAGAAATGTGACCAAGTTTATGTTAGTGGTTATGGTACCACAAATATGTTGAGGCATATTCATTCTTGCCCAAAAACGAGATATAGATGAGGTTGATTCATCGTGGAAAACCATGCCATTAGATCAAGATAATTACAGAGAAATGTTGGCTAGGGTCATTGCATTGCATGGTTATTCGTTCTGTTTTGTGGAACATCGAGGGATACGCAAATTACATACATTTTTAAATCCTGAAGTCAAGCATATATCGAGAAACACCACTAAAGCTGATTTGCTTAAGTTGTACCAGAAAGAAAAAAGAATTCTTAAACAAACTTTGAAGCTAGTTCCTAGCAGAATCAGTCTAACTACAGACTTGTGGACCTCTTCAACATCAGATTACTACATGTCTCTTACTGCACATTACATTGATGAGCAATGGATCTTGCAAAACAAAATATTAGCTTTGTCTCATGTTTCACCCCCATATAGTGGGGCAATTTTAGTAGAGAAGCTATTTCATTTACTGAAGGAGTGGGGCATCGAAAAAAGAATTTTCACTGTTACATTGGATAATGCATCATATAATGATGCTTTTATGAAGATTTTGAAAGACCATCCTGCTTTAAAGGAGCATTTTGTCTCCAATGGTGAATTTTTGCATGTACGATGTTGTGCTCACATTTTAAATCTTGTTGTACAAGATGGTTTAAAAATAATTGATAAATCTTTATCCAAGTTTAGAGAATGCATTAAATATGTAAAGAGTCCTCCTGGAAGGAAGAAAAAATTTGCAGAGTGTATCGAACAAACTTGTTCAGTTAGTGCAAAGAAAATTCAACAAGATGTGTCCAATAGGTGGAATTCCACCTTTTTAATGTTGGAGAGTGTTTTACCTTTTCGTCGGGCATTTGAGCAATTGAAGGTAATCGATTCAAATTTTACATTTTGTCCATCAACTGAAGAATGGGTAAAGGCTGAAAAAATAGCAAAGTTCTTGAAACCTTTTTATGAAGTGTGCACTCTTTTTTCTGGAAGTAAATACCCAACTTCTAACTTGTATTTTGGTGGAGTTTGGAAGATACAAAAATGCATAAAGGAAGAGATGACAAGTGAAGATGAAGACATAAAATCTATGGCAAGTGATATGGAGAAAAAGTTTAATAAATATTGGAAGTGTTATAGCAAGATTTTGTCCTTTGCATGCATCTTAGACCCCCGTTATAAGGTGAAATATGTGGAGTTTTGTTTTCAAAAAGTGGGTCTTGGTTCTACTCATGTTGTCACTCTCTTGGATAAGTTAAAGCTTCTTTACAAAGAATATGAGAGAGCATCAAATGATATATGTATGGCCGGTAGTAGTTCGGAAGAGGCCTTTGGAGATGTTCGTGATGATGAGATGCTTGAGTTTGAACAGTTTGTGAGCCAAGTAGTTTCAGTCAGTAGGACCAAGTCTGAATTAGAAGAGTATTTAGATGAAAAGATACTTTCTTGGAAGAAAAATGAGAAACTGAATGTTCTTGAATATTGGAAAGTAGAATCTGAGAAGCGTCCTCAATTATCCATGATGGCTCGTGATATACTCAGTATCCCTATTACTTCAGTGGCCTCTGAATCTGCTTTCAGCATAGCTGGTCGTGTGCTTGATAAGTACCGCAATCGTCTTCTTCCGGAAAATGCCGAAGCTCAAATATGCCTTGGTTCTTGGTTAGAGGAGGTTCCTTGTAAGTTGCTTACTTTTTCTTGTTACCTTCTGTAAATTTATGGTGTACATGTGTTATATTAGACTAACATAGTTGTATCCTATGATCTAAATGCAGCTTTGGAAGATATTGAAGAAGGACATCTGTTGGTGCATGATTTTAGTGATATTCAAAATTTTGAATCTGAAGGAGGGTGGTGAAGTGCTTGTTAGAAGATTTGTCATCTATTAAGGTATTAATCTTTATTGATGTTTAAGCATTGTACTACTATTGACCGCTGCTTTGTAGAGCTAGAGATGAGGTTTCTGCGAATTTTTGTGTGTGCATACCTCTCCATTTTGGTAGTGCACTTGATTTGCATATATGTTGCATTTCCATTTCCTATTGCCGAAGCTCAAAGCTTTGTTGTCAATCAGTCAGATTTCACTGTTCAAAATGAAATTGACAAGCTGAACATAGATTTGAATAATGAAATTGACAAGCTGAACATAGATTTGTAGAGCTACAGTTTTCTGTCCTTTGCAAAGACAATAAATGTGGAAGAGGTTTACCTTTCATCTGATGTTCAAAATGAAATTGACAAGCTGAACATAGATTTGAATAATGCGGCTAATACCCTATCAGACAAAACAAATGAAAGTTCAGAAAAGATTAGAAGTGTTATTGATACAGTGTATGGCTCTATACCTTGTTATTTTTTGATCTGGCTTTGTTCTGTCATTGCACTAATGACTTTGTCTACTTATATAGGAGGTGTGTGTTGATTGTGGTAGCAGCAGTGATGCTTATACTTGCACTAATTGGTTTTGGTATGTATTCTGTGCTCCTTGTGCATTGCCTTACTGCTTATGTTCTCTATTTTTGACCAATTATCTTTCATATTCTGTTTGCAGTACCTTTAAGATCCATGTAAACCAATGTCTTCTGCTTATGTCCTCTGCGGATGATAACCAAGTCATAAGAAATGCACTGCCTTTAAGATCCATGTACTCTTGTCATATGAAAATCTTCAATGTCTTGGCTGACTATGTTACTATTTTTTTCTACACAATGGCTCTTAATTTTCTAAGTAGATAATACACAGCTGTGAGAATCCTCTGTTAATCTTCTGGAAAATGTATTTGTTCTACAAAGGAATATCCCAGATGATGTTTCCAGCTGGATGTTTCTATTCACAACTCCTGATCTCCGCAATCCTGCATCCTCGCATTGATTTGCCTTCGATCCCTGATATTTTCTAACTTTCGTAAGACCTTTTTTCCTATTATATTAAGATTTTCTTGCCATCTTTTTTTTTGCAGCAAACGAAGCAGACGTCGCGATGCAAACACATCGACTGCTGCTCATTTTGTTTGTGTTCAGATTGGATCTTCGTCGTCCTCTTCCTCCTTCCCAAGCGCACTACTTTGGTTGACGTCGTCGTGCATGTTTTCGTACCAGACAAGTATAATGAGTCATATACAATATACGAGAGGAGGTTCTATTGTGTCATTGTAGTAGCACCTTGGACGATTACAAATCATCATTTAACTTATCTTGTAGTGGTTATTGTTTGATAGTAGACAGACTAAAAAGACCAATCTCTTTCAGCATATGTTGATCTATATAATGTTTACTAGTCGTAATGCTGTGTATAAAACTTGGGATCTTAGCGCTTCACATTTTGATTTTCGTTATATGTAGAACGTCTTTTTTTTAAACTGTGGAAGCTTTTGAGGTTGATGTTTTTCCGTTGATAATTTGTCCTGTGAAATTGGGTTTCAGGCTGGAAAAGTATTATCTACCGGGTATTGGTAGCGATTTAAAAGTTGGTGATTGTGCTGGTACTATAGTTATTTTATTAGCAATATTAATACTGATTTTACTGTTGGTGAAAGTTTACCAAAAAAACCCCTGCAAGTTTGTAGAAAACCCTTGAAAGTTTACAGAACCCCCCCTGAAAATTTACCAAAAATCCCCTGCAAGTTTACAGAAAACCCCCTGAAAGTTTGTAGAAAACCCTTGAAAGTTTACATATATATAAAAGCATCGTAACTAAATGGGTTAAAATCCCCTGCAAGTTTACAGAAAACCCCCTGAAAGTTTGTAAGTAGATCCCTGAAATTTACATATATATAAAAGCATCGTAACTAAATGGGTTATTGGGTCACCCATGAACCACCCATTTAGTAAATGGGTGGTTGAGAACCGATCTATTTAGCAAATGCTAAATGGGTTATAAATGGTCAAATGGTCATAAATATGACCACCCATTTATGACCCAACCAAACCCAACCAAAACCACCCATTTGACATCCCTACCCTCAACCCTAGACTATA